AGCATTTAACGTTAAAATCAATGAACAATTTCATTTATTTAATGGTTCGAGCCTTGTCGACCCCTATCTACCTACGCAGGCGGGTCATGCTCGAACTGGAGTTCATTTATTGACCCACGTAGCATCCCTAGGCATCACGTGTGTACCAATAACATGCTCGTTGGGCCTATGCGGGTACTTGATTGCATACCCCTTTTTGTGTACCTATGTGTACACATATTATGGTGCATGTGCGGGGGCATTTTTGAAAATTCAAAAGGGGCAAAATAGTCTACGGTGCATGTGCGAGGGCTTTAAGATCCGAGTTCTGATTTCCTATAGGCGTAGACCTTCTGTATTAGCCTGTTTTACACAGATAGACTGTTGTGCACTACTTGTTACTTTCTGCATGTGGATTGTAGTACACTAATGAATCTCCTGCTTTTGCATTTTGTAGATTTTTGTAGGTGGCATATTATATGCATGATGAAACCAGAGATATTGCTTACTGACCTTTGCATTTAAACTAACTTGATGATCTCCAAAATTCCTTGGGACCTCTATGTTATTGATTGGTTGTAAGCACATTGTTATCCCTTCGATTCAATTTTTGCTTGCAAGAAGGTTACTGTGTTCGTTGCATGTCAAATTCTTCAGCTTGAAGGGAGCTAGCGCATCCACTTTGAATCAAGTGGTATTGATTGTATAAAGGCGGAATTTGCCTCAGACTTTTGAATACACCTTTACTAACCATTGTTGGTTATAGCTTGCAAGGTTGAATATACTTGCTTATATTTTGATCTTGATTATAGGGATACCCTAATGTTTGCTGCATGCTTCTGCATATGCTTATAGAGCATATCACCAACTAGATTAAGTCATTATGTTCGTTGTACCCTGATCTCTTTCACTTGCAAGGTATCAATATGATTACTTGCATGCTAACTTGTACTAACTATAGGAGGGCCACACTTCAGCCTGAATTTGATATTTCTTTTGTGGCATGTCTCCTCTTGAACACGTATTGTATGTTGGCGGTGACTGCGAAGTGTTGTATTTGTGGTGTATCATCATGTGCATTGATCTCTTTTGTTTGCAATAGGGCAATATGTTCGTTTGAGTGATTGATACATGCATCATGCTTAATCATCGTCACTTGTGAGTGTGTTATCTTGCATATAAGTTGCAATGCTTGTTGGAGAGAAGACTAAACTTGCTTGATATTGGTGGATTGCAAGTGATAGGGAAGCTACCACATTCATTTATACATCTTTCATGCTTCATGAATGTACCTATTTTTATTGCAATTCTTCGTATTCATGTTGATTATTGCCTATGAGCAATGCATAGAAACTTTAGTTATCATAAGCAATTGCTCGCAATTTTCCATTGATATTCATTTTAGTTCTTTGACTTGCTTGCATGATTAATATGAGTATCACTTGCTCTGTTTGTTGATTGTAGGCATATTGCCACATTTCTCCATTTAATCATTGCAATCATATCAGTTTGATTGAGAGCTCAAAACTTGAGTTGTTTTAATTGTACCATTCCTTGCCCACGTCTTTTGAGCGTAGACTTTCATTCGTCCGTCTCTTATCCATTGATATACTTAATTGAGTAACTAGCATTATTCTCTGCTATTTTATTGTCACTTGTAGAAAAATCATATTGAATGTTGTAAGCCCTTCACTATCATATGAAGATGACTTAGATCATGCATTATAAAATTGCTTAGTGACATGTGCCACCCATTTGAAATAATAGTTCCTTAGTGTTCATTGAAAAGAAACTTTGTATCATTGGGTATAAGCATGTTATTGCATTTTCCATCCGATCATTGCTTGAATGATTGATGCTTATCTTCCACTTGCTTGCTTACATAAGATTTGAATGACTCAAATTTTTCTTGATTAACAATTACATTTAAATTGAAATGTTAATTCTTTAACATTCCATTGAAAATTTGATGTCATTTTCCAAAGGTTCTTTAGTGATTATCCATTTTATTTATGTCAAAATTTGAGTTAAGTTCCATGTCATTTGGTCTGATCTTCAAGTTTCAAATTATTTGTATTTAGTTCACTTGATGTTTAAATAAGTATTCAAATAAAATCCAAGTCCGAGTTTCAAATTGTCCAAATCCAAGTCCCATGTTTCATTGAAAATTTCAAGTCCAAGTCCTCATATCTTCAATCCAAATTTCAGCATCCTCCCGACATCTCCCTCGTTTAGGGGAAATTTTGGGAGACTAGCCTTCCCCTCCACGCCACATGGGCGCTTCAAGTAGATACCCGTAGATACCACGGCTATGTTTTCTTCAATCCCCACTACGCTACATGAGCGCTTCAAGGTCTCGCACACCTGTTAGAAAAAAGCACAGTGATTTCCCCACGTATGAGTACTTATTTTTCGCGCCCCCTCATGCTACATGGTGCTTCGGGATTACCCTCCTCGTCGCAAGCGTCGCACCAGTTTTCCTCCCCTCATGCTACGTGAGTCGCGTAGGGAGGTTTGTCGGCTCGTTGCTAGCCTCGAGAGCGGGTATAAGCAACAATAGTAACAACAAAACTAAATAACAGTATTATCAATGTTAATATTGTTAAATATATGAATGATATTATTAATATTATAAAGGGGAATATAGAAAAATGTGAGAGAGGATGAGTGGTTACCTTGATGTAGATTTGAGTGGGCTTTTAGAAGTATTTGAGGGAATGGGGTATGTTAAGTGGGCTTGTTGTAGAGTGGTTAGTGTGAGTGGGCTTCAAATGTGTAGGTTAAGTGGATTGGGTAGAGGGTTCAGTTATAATAGAAGGGGAAGGCAAGGTTAGATAAGTGAGCTGCTTTGGAGTGTCGGCTAAGGATTTGAGGCTCGGTTGAGGTAGGGATCTCTCTCTCTCTCTCTCTCTCTCTCTCTCTCTCTCTATGGACCAAATGGGTTGGAAGGCTTGCAACAGAGAGCTTCGGCAGGGTGTAGAGCAGGTCGAGTAAGGAAACGAAGAAGCTTATGGGATTTGGAATGTGGAGAGCTACGAAGAAGCGAACATCTTAGCCTCGTTCTCATTTTAATGGAGATGGCGAAGCTCGTTCGAGGGAAGAGCCGCAGGATTTACGATATTTGATCGCTTTGTCGGTGCAAAATTTTTAGCAGGATATCCATGATTTGAGCAGAACTTCGACGATGTACTAGGTAAAGCGAGATTTGCGGATGATTCGACTATACGAGGTATGCATTTTTTTTTTTTGGTTCTTTTGTTTCTTTGTACAGAGGTTAACACCAGGCTAGTGGCCAAAGGCTACACTCAAATATATGAGATTGATTATCTTAATACCTTTGCTCCAAATGTTAAAATAAATGTTATTCGAATCTTGTTATCATTAGTACTGAACAGGGAGTGAAAAAATTAAGAACTTAATATAAAGAATGTCTCCTAGATGATGATCTAATGAAGAAAGTCTGTGGATATCCCATCAGGATTTGATTCAGGGTTGAAGCAATCTACAAGGGCATTGTTTGGAAGGTTCTCCATGGTAATGCTCAACATGGGATATAAACAAAATCATGAAAACCATATATTTATGTTAAACACACAATTTTGAGTCTCCAACTACTAGTTTATATTGAGAACATCATCATGACAGTTGATGACTTAGAAAGAATAGACTTTAAAAGAAAAAGTAGCTCTAAGAATTCAAAGTCAAAAAATTAGGTAAGCTAAAGTACTTCCTTATCATTGAAGTCGCACACTGTCAATATAAAATCTCCATATTACAATAAAATCACATAAGGGCATGCTGAAAGGAACATGTTAAGTTGGGACGTAAGGTTATCCATAGCCTTAAAGAATTTAATCAAAAACTTGGGGAAGCTCCAGAAGATATGATAATATAAAAACTCTTGTATAAAAAATTAGCAGGAAGACTTATCTAGTTCTCACATATCATCCCTAACATTGCCTGTTGTTAGTATGGTAATTCAATTCATGTACAATCTTAAATAATCACACCTTAAGATAAGTTAATGAATTTACAATATCTGACGGCCTAGGTATGAGAATATTATTCAAATAGGGATAGGATCTAATCTTAAAAGTTTACACAAATGCATATTGCATAGGTTATATTGTTGACATGTGATCAACTTCAGGATATTGCAGCTTTTTAAGCCACAATCTTTTAACTTGGAAAATTAAAAACAAAATTTGGTGCAACAAACAGCCAAGAAACAAAAATTAGATCTATGATACTAAAAATCTATGAATTTCTATGGCTAAAAATTGAATTGAATGGTCTTATGAAGCTTTTATCATGATAAAACCTTAGTCAACAATATTTCACATCATCCCATCATGGTTGCACTAAACAAATTTAATTTGAAAAACAATTTATAAAAGAGAAGTTGGACAATGATCTAATGTGCGTTCTATTCATTACCATTGGGGAAATAACTTAGGGATATTCTTACCAAAAGATTATGAGAAGCATTCTTTCAAAAGTTATCAGGCAAACTGGAAATGGATTACATCCATTCATTCACTCAATAGGTAGTGTGGGAAACACCTACAGTATCCAGCCCAAGATTCCACTTCGCAGACTCACGCCTAGCCTTTTGCCTCTATCATACCTTGCTGCCCGACTCATATCGTTACAACTTGCCTCCTGCCTTGTCCATACTGCCGGGTTGCCAACTCCCCTTCCTTTTCCAACTCTATCGTGCTAAGTTCTCCTTTCTTATTCTCATTGCTAAGTCATTGACCCATGGGATTATTGCTGTCACCTTACCAATTCATGAATTGTCATATTCTAATGAATTATGATTTTTTCTTATCAGAAGCTCTCCTAGATTTGTATATAAATGTAGGAATATGATACAGTAAAAATTCTCTTCAATTATATATATATATATGTGCGCGCGCTCATTGAGATTCTTGCACATGCTTGAGAAATAAGAAGTTAACCTTTTTAGCAATGAGGCCAGATTATAAAAAAGATCAGTCAAATCTAATGGTAGAACTCACCAAAGGTGTGTAGGAGACATGGTAACAAAGAATACTCGCTGCTTCAATGGATTGACGCTGGAAGAAACCCAATCAGCCCATGTCTCCAAGGCCAATGTCATAGCATCTAACCCATCTGCCTCTTCACACATTTCATCATCAGCATTCCATCTGCATGGAAAAGCAGAAGAAACATCAAAAAGAGGTAGGGGATGGGCGGTAGGGACGTGGAGGATGGGCTTGATATCCATTGTTTACAACTATTTTCCTTTTTCTTTTATGTAGGCGAAAGAATTTACTTACAATAATTTGATCTTCGGGCCACTTCTCCACCACAAGTATGAGTTGAAGACCAATATATCAGCATTTTTCCACTGAGAAGCATGCTTGTAAATTGCATTAGGCCGTATTATTCGGTCATCTAATCTATGATTTACGGGATCATCCGAATTTGATTCTACAATAAGTGGTGCCCAGTAAAACTCAACTGTAGCATTATATTCCTGCATGGAAAGTATTATTAAGTTTATCAAAACGCTGCATTGCCAAAATGAGTTGGCTGTACAACCTGATCAGCAAGCAGCAAGCTTGTGTGGTCAATAATATCTCATGGTCACAGGAACAAACATCATCATGCAGCATATCGAATAAGGCAAAATAATTTCTTATGAAGTATTGCAACAAATATTTCTTGCCAGTTGGAACCATAGATTGCACCATTTATTGCCCTAGAAGAGCTAACGATGGATCTGCCCTAATATGTAATTTTTACCAGGACAAAAGGGTACATTGAATATTAGACATTCTTTAATTTTACCTCAGCAGTAAAAATGGTTAAATGAGCATTGGGAGACATAGATTTCTGGCCAGTTGGAACCATAGATTGCAAAAGGCACACCATGGAGATCCACTGACCCCTGTTTAAGGAATCACCCACGAACATCAGCCGCTTATTTCTCAGCTTCTCCAGCATCTCTCTCCCATTCCATCTTCAAAAAACAAAAAACAAAAAAGAAAAGAAAAATAAATGGACTCTAAGATTAAAATTCCTATCAATTGAGAAAATCAGATTAATAGAATAAAAAAGGGAGTATTTCATGGGGCATCCATGAACATAGAGAGGTGTATTGCATGGCGCAAGCAATATGCAACAAGAAACATGTAGTGATCAAAGAAAGCATCACGTACTTAAGTTTAAGACCTTTTTATGATCAGAAATTCTATAGATATGAGCAAATGGGAGTGAACCTTATACAAACAATAGAAAGCTAAATATTTATCTATTTTTAATCCTTGAATGAGGAAAAATGAACTACTTACCGAATTTCCATCTTTTTCCAAGAGGAAAACGGTGTGAGGAATGGCAACCAATCGCGCTTCATTTGCAAAGGAAGAACAAATGGACTCTTTTGAAATGATGATTGTTTTGATTGAAAAAAATGAATGATATCCCAGCTATTTTTTGGTTAATTATGAATCTGCGGCTATTGATCTAAGCTATTCAATCTTTTTTTTTTTTCATTCCTTATGCTCAAAGTATTATTATACAAACATAGCTAAAGTACCTAAGTGCTCACTACCAAAAAAAGGTGTTAAATATTTGAAAAAGCCTTTGATATCAGATATTTTTTGAGACCACAGGAAAATCTTAGGCACGACATCACATGGACTGTCAATCCTCTATTCAAAATAGAAAAATTTATCATTCTCAAATATGAATAGATAAGCATTCATTATAGTAGTATTTGACAAAAATGGGCAGCATTCTATTACTGGATTTGGCATAACATCACCTGTCGCACAACTCTAATGCAGATGAACATCTGCACACAAGAGTTATACCAACCACTGCAAAAACTTCATGACTCAAATGCACCATTTGATCTAGCTTGTGCATTTATAAACTTCATATACAGTATCCATGGCAGTGGCAGCCTATTGATGATTCAATCTTAGAGCCCTTAAAATCTAAGGGATGTTTAGAAGATATGACTGAGGTTCAAAATATTATAATCAGGAGATGATAGAACTCGGAAGTGCTTAGAGCCCAAGGCAAATTCCAACAGATCGGAGCATTTCAAGTTATCAATAACACACTAAGAAAGAGATGGCCAAACAAAAAACAGGGACAACCAAGAGGGGCCTATCAATCACATTGCCATTGTTGCTGTGGCATAAACAGTCTTCAATATCAGGAGAAATTATTCTGTGCGAACGCCGAACGCAATTTACCGTCTGGAGACCAACCAGAATGCGCCACATCAACAATACCGAGCTGGGTACTGAGCGGTACCAAGCCGGGTACCAGCAGGAGGTGACGTGATGCATTCTGGTTGATTTCTAAACGGTGTTCTGCATCCACGCAGAATAATTTCTCCAATATCAAATGAGTTTAACAGAGGGACTGTCTAAAGCTCAATACCATGTCCTAAACATAATTAGCTTAAACAAAAAGTTATACAACAACTTGGAAAACTCTCTGATACTCAAGTCAGTAAAGGAGCTTGAAAGTGAATAACAGCTGGAAGAGCTTCAACAAAATTTTATCTTCAAATGGACTGAGAGGAGATCGAAGTCCAATAATCCGTATCTAAAATCTTAGCAAAGAATATGATAAATAAATGAGCTATGTTCCCTCCAAAATTCATGCAAAGCCAAAAGTTCCACTATTGGTCATTATATAAATTTTGTGGTAGAGAACTGAGCCACATCAATTGAGTAATTTTGCCTTTAAGATATGTGTTAAAATATCTATTATGCCTCTAATATTGATGTAAGATTTCAATTGAGGCCAAGCCACAAGATTAGTGATGATGAAGATCATAAGCATTATATGTTTGGTATTGTAAAACCCCTCAAAAGTTCATTTTTGTGAGTGCTGTTAGTCTGGACGAACTGGCCTTAGTACGAGACGAACTGAAGAAAATTGTGAAAATCTGTATGGTTAGTACGGACGAACTGAGTAAAAATGCAGGTTCGTCTGGACGATCCTAGGTACATCGGGACGAACCGTCGGGACGAACGAACAGAGAGTTTCGTCCAGGGACGAAATAAATTGGAATTAATTTTCGTCTGTACGATCCGTGTCCAGATGAGTTCGTCCCGGGACGAATTGGAATCATCCAGGACGATCCTGCTTGATAAATTGAGGATTTGAGATATTTTTCGTCTAGGGACGAAATAAATTGGAATTAATTTTCGTCTGTACGATCCATGTCCAGAGGAGTTCGTCCCGGGACGAATTGGAATCATCCAGGACGATCCTGCTTGATAAATTGAGGATTTGAGATATTTTTGAAGAGAGAGAAAAAGGCAGGAGAGAGAAAGAGAAGGAAAGAGAAAGAAG